CACTGAAACAAAGCAAAGATGGCATGCTAGAGGGGTTAATGCTTAGGGCATACAAGAGATGTTGCATGGTAGCTATACAAAGCAAAGCATGGACTACTTGAATGGCCAAAAATAGACCTTTAGCACATCAAAACAAGCACAAAAGCTTCACAAAGCTTGGTCAAAAACATGCTAGAAGAAGTCTCAAAGCACAAAGCATGTTAAGGCTAAAACATGGCATTACAAGACATGTATGCAAGGCATGCATGGTGTGTCTAAACCAAGTAAAAACAGAGGTAAAACATGGCAAAATACTACCAAATACCTACTGAAACATGGCCAACATGAGTTCAAAAGTGGTGCTCACACATGAGGCTTAAATGGCATATATTAAAGACAACAAGGAGAGGGGATGGCCCTCTCCTTCTTAGGACCTTAAACCACCATCCTCACCACTGAAATCGCTCAAGATTTCAGTGGTGAGGAGGCCCAAACAAGGTGGTCCCGGAGCACACCAAAATAGCACAAAAACAGGGGCCAAACAAGCTCTAAGAGGGGTCAAACAACCTCAAACAACAAAGTGACCTTAAACAACTATTTAAAGCACTCAAAAACAAGACTTTTATTAGTTATATACAAAGTCTGAAAACAGTTGCAAGATAGGTTAAAAAGCTATGCAAAAATGGGGGAAAGGGGTAAGATTGTTGCCCTTGTACACTTCCTTCACAAACAATGCTCCAGCTGGTTCTTTGAGTTCAAAACCAGTCAAGAACTTCAAGAACAGCTCCCTAGCACCTCAGTAGCTAAGGTAAGGTGTAATGGTGGGTGTTTGTGTGTAATAATAAAACCAAACACACACTTATACACAAAAGAGAGAGAGATATAAAGATAGGGGATATGCAAACCCTAACCCTAATATCAGAGCCCTCTGGAAAAATGTTGTAACCCTAATTTTGGGAGAAGAGGCTCCCTTTTATAGAGATTCACTCTTGCAAAGCTTCCAAAACAAGCTAAGCAAGAGTGAAATCCCTCCATACACGTGTATGGAGGGGAGCAAAGTGTATGCCAGCTAGCACAGCTGGCATAAAAATATCTGCAAAAGCAGATGTACAGTGGTCGGCCAACCAAAAATGCTATTTGACCAAAAAAGATGGCCGGTCGACCACAAAGAGTGCCGGTCGGCCAAACATTTGGCCGATGGCAACAAACCAATCGCCGGTGAGGTGTGGGGATGGCCAACAAGCCATTCCCTGCCCTCCAAAGCAAAAACACAAGTGTTTGGTACAAAATCAGACACAAAACAATCGAGTTGAGAGATCCTGAGGCAAGACGCGTAGCCGAGACCTCCGGGAACTCAAGACGAGCACAAACAAAGATGATCACCGAGTGTTCAAACGGTGACGTCCAAGTCTTGAGAACGGTCAAAAATGGATTGTCTACACTTGTCATATTCACCAAACTAGTTTTAGTATTTTTAAGAAAACAACATCTCATTGGGAGTCTGCAATTGAACTCCTATCAAATGCAATTATATCTAAAGGTCGATACTGTATCCTAACTACTTATTATTTTTCAACTTAACCCCGTTAGATTTGTCATCTGTAAATTGTCCCAGCTATTGCCACCAGTTTCTCATTTTTGTGACACAAAGTGCAAGAGGTTCAAGTTCTCGCCATTTTTTTGTTTTTGTCTTTTACATTTGTACAGCGCCTTGCACGATCTTCATTCATAGTAATCGGCAAGGCTGTAGTATTTATTGGACTCTAGGTTTTAGCTGTTTTTTTTTTTTTTTTTTTTGGGCATTAGATTTGTGGGTTGAGAGAAGCTGTTTTTAGAATTTTTTCTTTTATCAGCTGTCTTTTTAGTGCCATTTTGGGAACATAGTAAAAAGCCACGTTTTTGGACAAAATGTCCAAAAACGTGGCTGCCAAAAACGCAACAAAATCCATTTGAGAAGTGCCAAAAACGCAGTCCTAAAATTACAAATTAGGGCCTATGAAAAAAAATAAAAAAAATTAATCTCTTATGTTGGGTAAGGGTATTTTGGTCATTTTAATTTGATTTGACACTATAAATAAATATTAAACTAAAAAGTAAAAACTGAGCTTTTTACCAACTTCCCAAATCACTTCTAAAAAAGTCAAAAAGCTTGGTAAAAAGCCAAAAGCCAGCTTTTTACTAACTTCCCAAAACAATTAGTGTCATAGATTTACATTCACACAGAATTAATGTTACATTATACACAGAATTATTAGGAAAATTTACCTATAAATCTCATATTGAGAAACAATGAACCATTTAGTTTCAAGAATTTTCTTATAGGCCAACAAGTCCATTATTTTGAAAAAGTAGATTTAATATATCAATTGAAAATTGGATTTACGGTTATACCCTTATTTATATTATCTTTCCTTCTCTTTTTTCTTTTGTGCTAGAAAAATAAGGTACACAATTTATGAGAATCAAATCTGGAATGAATTTTTATATGAGAATATTTTTATTTGGAAAATATTTCAAAATGAATACAAAAAATAACTTGAAAAATGAGATTCTTTAACAAAAAAAATTTATTAGTGTACTTTTCCTAAACTTAATACTCTAAAAAAAACTCCTCAGTGTAACACTCTAATGTAACATACAAAAAAAACTTCTTAGCGTATTTTTCTCAAATGTAACATTCCAAGAAAATTTCTTAGTGTAACATTCTAATATAACACAAAAAAACTCATTAGCGTACTTTTCCTAAATTTAACACTCAGATATAATATTGTAACACACAAAAAAGCTCCTTAGTGTACTTTTCTCAAACATAACATTCCAAAAAAAAAAATGTGAGAAAACTATTTCAAAAGAATTACAAAAATTCCTTAGTAAATTTTTGCGATTGTATAATTTCAAACTGTGAGTGTTACTTTTGGAAAAAAAAAGTACACTAAAGAGTTTTTTAATATTTTTTGTGTAAATGTAAATCTACAACACTTTGCTGAAGGTTGAAGTATCAATAAATCCCAAAATGTGATCTTGTAAACGGTTTAGTCCTCCATTTTTTTCTTATAAACCCAAAAGTCCCATTAAAGTAAAAATTATATAAAAGGATAGTCATTTTTATGTTTGATTTTAATTTTTTAGGGATAAAAGTGGATTTCTCAAAATGTAAAATTACACATTTGGATAATTTGCACTATAAAAATTTTGGACCTTCCCTCATTCTAGAACAAATCTCACATTATGAACAAAAACCTAATACTCTAATATAACACTCCACTAACACAACACTTCAATGTAACACACTAAAAAACTCATTGGTGTACTTTTCCCAAACGTAACAACGTAACACTCAAGAAAAACTCTTTTTGATGTACTTTTCCCAAATGTAACGTTCCAATCTAATACAAAAAAAAAAAATTTAATGTGCTTTTTCCAAACGTAACATTCTAATCAATTTAATTCTAAATGTAACACTCCAATGTAACATTCCCAATGTAACACACAAAAATACTATAAAAAAAAATTCGTGCATTTTTCCAAACGTAATACTTACAGTTTGAAATTATACATTTGTTCAAAACTTACTAAGGAATATTTGTATTCTTTTTGAAATGATTTGAAGAATCTCGCACTTTTTTTTAATGTTATATTGGAGTGTTACGTTTAGAAAAAGTATACTAAGAATTTTTTTTTTTTTTTTTTTGGTTACATTGGAATGTCATGTTTGGAAAAAATATACTAAAGAAATTTTTATATGTTATATTAAAGTGTTAGGCTAAGGAATTTTTTTTAAATGTTATATTGAAGTGTTACATTTAAAAAAAATACGTTAAAGAGTTTTTTTGTGTGTTACACTAAAATGTTACACTGATGAGTTTTTGTGTGTTACATTAGAGTGTTATACTAAAGAATTTTTTTAGAGTATTATATTAGAATGTTACATTTGAAAAAAGCACACTAAGAAATTTTTTTATGTGTTACATTAAAGTGTTACACTAAGGAGTTTCTATATGTGTTACAATAGAGTGTTACATTAAAGAATTTTTTTAAAATGTCATATTAAAGTGTCATATTTAGAAAAAATACACCAATGAAATTTTTTTTTTTTGTGTTACATTAAAATGTTACAATAAGAAATTTTTTTACGCGTTACATTAGAACATTATACTAAATTTTTTAAAAAAAATATCATATTGAAATGTTATTATGTTTGAGAAACAAACACCCCAACAAAAACAGCCAACACGAAATGAAACCTCAAACAAACGCAATAAATCAAAAACAGGGAACATGTAAAACTCGCCTTAAAGAATTAATCCAGCACTTCAACACAACCTTACCCAGAAGCAACAACAACAAACAAGGAACAGTCACCAATCCCTTCAACAAAAACAGAGCTCCCACATCAACCCCAACCACACCAACGAAGTAACACCAAAAATCCCACAAATCACTCCCTCAAAATCCCCTCAAAGAATAGAAACTTAATAACATGCCTTACCCCCGCACACTCCACATCAAAAAATAAATCAAATACGGGGGCAAATATGCAACTCCAAAACCCCCCCAATCAAATAAATACAGTATACTAAAAATAAATAAAACCAAATGGTGTAAAGAAAACTTCTAAGACGAAGCAGGACAGCATTTCTTCAAATAGAATTTATAAGTAATTTTCTCCATTTTTTTACTGTTGGATCACTAGATTACATGAATGGCTGTAATTGGTTCTTCATTTGTAAAAAATTATCACTAAATTTTTTTTCTTTTTTAAAAAAAAAGAAGGATTACTCGTTATGTGAACAACATTGCTTACGCCTTAGACCATTTCTTGTCCGATCTCCTTACCAGATGAATTCTATCAAAAAAATTTATTGAATTTTAAAATTTTCCATACATTAACCAAAGGTTTTTCATTCAAATGGTCAAAACTCAAAACCCTTCAAATTCCAGTTGCCTCTTATGGCGTAGCTCCATCTACAAAAACTATATTATAAATACCAACAAAGAAGCCCATAAGAAAAGCACATCAATTTTCCCGGAAAATGGAATTTCTATGATCCATCATATATAACTATAGGTGATCAAAGTATTAACATTGATGTTCTGCCAAAAGGGACCAGTACTCAATTTCTATCCCAACCATCACTAACTTACACAAGAAACTCAAATATATGGCCAACTTTCCAAAAACAAGAGTGCACCAAAACAAACAAAAAAGACCAAACACGACTCAGCAATAGAACATCACATCTTTTACATTATCTTTGATCAAGGGAAGTGGCCGAACCTCCACATTCCTCTCCCTAGTGGCCCGACCACCGCTAGTTGATTCACTTTCCGATGTTTCACCCTCAATATAGTAGCGTGCACGAAATGCTGCTAAATGAGCATAATAGGCAGGAGGGACTGCATATTTAAATCAACATTCTATTAATAACTTAAATCAACTTCCTAATAATAATCGCAAGTACATCAGCCATAAAACACACTTCACAAAAAATAATAATAATAACAACGATGATGGTGATGAAAACATTAAAATGATCAAGGACAAACCTATGGAGACTGAACGAGTACACCTTGCATACCTGGACGGAGGGCAAAAATATTTGTTAAAACGGAATAGCAAAATAATGTACTACAAAAAAGTAATACAACACGAGAGAAATAAAATAAAATCTGGAGTCAAAAAAAATACGTGTAACACAAGTTATTCGTCAGTAATTGTAAGGCATCTGCTGTAAATTTGTTCTCATCATATAGCACATGGTAGTGTGCAGGTCGACTTGTTCCCTGCTCAGATAAAGCAAACAATAATGACGGTTACTCCTTCCCCGACAGACTGACGTCAACTAAACAAAGGTAACCTGAGTTTACCTGAATACCCGCATGGCTGCAAAGATAGAAATCAAACTCCGTAGGGTGGCAAATTGTTGTATCAACAACAGTACCTGCTCACCAACCAAAGAGCAAAAGGTTCAGAATGAGCATAGAATGCTCCTGAAACAACGGACACGCATGTAGTTAAAATGAGAACCAAAATATGAACCTGGTAAAATATTGCCACTCCTGTCCGTTGAATTGCGATCATTATGTTGGGCAGGAAAGAGGCGAGTGTGGTGTCTCTTCTGCACTACCACAAAGGTAACTGGTGGTAGATAATTTTCCTCCAATGAAACACATGCCTGGAAAAAGAGATTCCCTATAAGAAACGAAAAGAAAAAACATGATTGTTCAAGATATTGCAGCCTAATAATGTATACCTTTCTTATAGCATCCATCTCATATAGCAAAACCTGATTGAACTGACCTTCGCTGACTCCGTCTCTGCAATACAACTAGCATCAATAATTTTGCATATCAAAGAGATTAGTCACTTGCATCCACTCAGATGCAAAGATTCACCTGTAGAATATGATTCTATGAGGTTTATGTCCAGTTGATCTCCTGAACGCAATTAGGAGTTCCCTGCAAAATGGCAAACAAATGATGAACAACGAAAAATCTACATTTACAGTAGCAAATGTGAGAAAATATCAAATTTTTTACCTAATCATTCCGCTATGAACTGTGCCTCTTTGAGGATCCTGAATAGTTTTATAGAGATCATTGATAATTTCATCCCTATGAGGTTGTGCAGAGACCAATCCCCTATACTTGGTTACCTCTGGCCAATCCATAGATGCCACCACCTATATATCAAGTTTTCGTTCTCTTATTATAGCACAATAGATCAAATATTAAGCAAACTAACAAATAGCAAAGAAGATGCTGACAACATACCGCTGCTATAGAAGGACTAGCATCCTCTCCTGGTTGAGGATGCGTCACATCAGCACCAAATATTATGGTGGGCGCATCGGTTACATAGGGAATTTTCTTATGAAGAGCATTCAACAACACATTGTTCCGTCCCCCAGCCTGCAAAGAATATTATTCAAAATATGAGGGAAAAGAAAAAGCAAAAAAAATACCAAATTTATGACTAAAGAAATCAACATGAACATTTTAAGTTCATATAGAACAAAATAAACCTTCACATTGATCTTTAGAGCAACATTTTCAAGATACTGCTTCTGGCACTTTGATGCTTGCTTGGGCTGACAACACTGGGAGATGATTCCCAACTCTGTTTCACACACCCGCTTAATCCTTCCTGTGAAAAGTAAAATCACATAAGCAGGTAACGACATCTCTACCAAATTCTAAAAATCTAGCATTTGTGACTTACCATAAGTCCCAGTGGCATCCGGCAAAATAATGATCAACAACTGAAGTAGTTTCCCTGAACTCGCAAGTTTTGCATTAGACTGTTTGTGAATTTCAAGGAGAGTCTTCTCAATTTGAGCTGGATGTGCTGAACGGGGTTCAAGTAAAGGCATCGAATTGAAATCCTTAGAAAGATATGCAAAAGATTAAGTGTCAATTCCTTTTAATTCAAATCGATGTTACAGCTGATCACAAAGACAATAAGTGAGAAAACCATACCATCCCTTTACTCTGGCACATGTAAACCAAATTCTCACAGAATCTAAAAACCTCATCTTGTCTTATCCGCGAGAAGCTGACACATGTCCAAAACTCCACCTTGCCACCATTAACCATTTTCTACACAACCAAAATTATGAAGGGACATCCAAGAGTACATTTAAAAAAAATAAATAAATAGCATTCTTAGTTCAAGTTCTAAACACTATAAAACTACCAGAACTCTTAGAAGATAGACAAATTCATAACTACTTGCACCAGAGAAAATATAAAATCAAACCACCGAAAGTGAAACATTCCCTTCTTTACTTTTGCCTTCTTTATTAATTTGGCAACACAAGTAAAAATGCAAAACCCAGATCATGGAAATACACTGCATCCAACCCACTTGAAGTTGTGGTATGAGATGTCATACCATAAGCAAATCAGTGTTTAACCACTAACATATTTATACCTTGTCTATCATGTTCCAAGCCCCCACCCGTGGAGTTTCTTGTGTATCCTGATATTGAAGCTACATCAACCAGCATACAAGTCAAAGTCAAAACTTATAAGAAAAGGTGCAATGATTCATCCATGCATAACAACAAATTAAAAGATTACAAAGTACCATTGGAGCTGGAAGTACACGAGCATCAACGGATGTAAGTTCAGTCCTTACTCGAAGCCCAAATTCATTGACAAACTTATCATTGTTGTAGTTATTATGCTTAACCATCTGCAAAGGATAACCTCATCTAGAGAAGGTGACATCAACAGAAATAGGAGGAAACAATTTCCCCATGTTTTTTGAACCAACATAAACTATAAAATATATACCATGAAGTCCAAAAAACATTTAAGAATTCTGACCACAAAACTAAAGATGATGTGAGCATATATATACCTGGTTAATGCTCCGTTCTCTATCATTAGGACGTTGGCAGGTTGCCCTTAGCAAAGCACTCACCTGCCTATCATTCAACCTTTTTGAATATCTTTGCCCTGGTACAATCTTACAAAGCTGTAGAAAAGAGAAAGTCAATGCAAGTTGATGATACTACTAGAAGATGCAACAATGACTCAAATGAAACAAAACTTAGATTGTCATAAACAAGAAAACCTCCATCGGTAGGTAGATAGGCCTAGAGTCACTGCCAACTTGAAGCGCAGGCAGGGCTGTGAACTTAAGGGCGATATCATATTTCTCGCGAAAGTATTTCACAACTGACGTTTGTGTACCCGTATCACCAGAAGTAAACCTATTTAAAAAGGAAGTGCACATCAACAAAAAAATAAAATAAAAATGTAAACATCAACAACAAAAAATAGTGCAAAATTCATTTCACCTCCTTGTGGTTAGAGGCCAAAACACTTTACCCCCTTATGGTTCAAATATGGCCACAGCCCCCATCTGATTTTGGACCAAAGTGCAACTATTAACTTCGTCAACTACAGATGTGAAATGACTGTAATACCCTCAAGCCTTAAGCTTTTTTTGTTATGTTATTTCTCTCTCCTCTAACATACACATTCAATTAAATCACAATTAATCATAAATCCTTAATTATTTATTGTAATTCCTGAGTTTTTAATATAACTTTAATTTAATTATGTTTAGATCACAATTAATCCTAAGCCGTTAATGATTTATTGCAATTCCTAGCATCTTAATCTAATTTTAATTTAATTACATTTTAAATCAATCCTTGATTATTATTTATTTTATATTTTTATTTAATTACATTTTAGATCAATCCTTAATTATATTTTAATTTTTTTTATTTTAATTAACATCTTAATCTAATTTTAGGTTTAGAGAAGATGAGAGTAAAATTGCCTTTTTGATGTATTAATTTCACTTAATTTTTTTAGAAAACCAAGTCCACTCCCAAAAATGGTGTGATAGGAGGAACTTTAGCCTGGATGGAAAAACTAATGGTGGATCTTTAGTCCAAAACCACATGAGGGATTTCTAACTATATTTGAAACACGGGTAAAATGTCCTGGCCTCAAAAACCACAATGGGGTAAAATAAATTTTGCACCAAAAAAAACGTAATAAAATCAAAAAAAAAAAAAAAGACAAACATCAAATAGATGATACAAATTCCACCAGTTCAAAAAATATATAACCAATCCAAAGTGAATTGGTGGAATTACAATATCATTTCCCCTTCTGGTATACATAAATTAACAAGAAAACAAAAACTCCAACAATTCACTGAACTAGCAAAGAAGTCCTAGCCCTAGGCAAATATACTGCCTAAAATCATAGGTATTAGATAAAAAGCATAACAAAAGAAGACAAAACCAACACCCCCCCCAAAAAAAAACCAAAAAAAAAAAAAAATCAGTTTAAATAGTTTGATTGCTTTTAACCCTATATAATTTAAAGAGAAACATTTAGGTAATTGAAAATCTTATGAGAATCCCAAAAACAATTCTTTATCCATTCCTTCCATCTTAAACTCTCCTCAGTTACTTGAAAAGACCACTTAAAATTAAATTTTAACAAAATTCAACTTTTATGCGGTTACTTCATCAAAAATCTTGGCATATATACATATAGCTCAGAAATTTTGGCAAGACATAGGGCATAACTGGTACAATGATCTAAGATTGCAGTTTAAAAATTGCATCATTTAACATTTTTTGTAATGCTTCTAAAATTCCTGTAAACTGTTCCAACTAAAGAAGAAACTTAATCATTAAAGGTTGTTATGATTTAGAATCCGAGATTCCCATTTATGAGTAAAGAAAGAATACTTCCCACTTCCCAACCACTTATGACTTTCAAATGTATCACAACACACAAATATCCACCAATTTTGTGTTTTCTCTCATTTATGTTATTCTTCTACCATTTTCTAACTTTATGTGCATTTAGTGAAGCTTTCCCCCTATTGCTACATGGTGAAGATAAGCCACACACCAAACTCACTAGCAGAAATAATTGCAAAGATAAGTAGCTCACGTTAATTGACTTGTTGGTTGCACCGATACACCTGATATTTTCCGTTTAACATCCTCGCTATGAATGAGTTCTACCTTAACCATTTTTAGAGCTTTCTTAACCTGGAATCACCCAAAACAAAAAGGGTACAACAAAATGGGTCAACTGTTGGGTAATGTGGGCAAGGAATATAATATGCAACAACAAAAGTAGATATTAATACATATTGACCAAAGTTACATAGGAGAAAATTATTAATGAGTTGGGCAGTGGAAAACAAACTCCATAAAAATTTCACTAGACCTTTATATTTTACCATGACGACATAACATACAAAAACCTCATTTTTGGCAAAATTTACTATGGCATTTTCCTTCACAGAAAATATAAATGAACAATTGTATGCTGCACTAGAAAGTCAGAGATAATACCTTAATGCGATCTTGATCAGAAAGAGGCCTGCTTAAATCTCTAATATTGCAATATGTTGCAACAAAGTCAGAAACTAGAACGGGTTCATAAAATGCTCTTGCTGAGATATCTGCAACACGAGAATCAGATTCTTAAGGCAAGGAAGCACATAATCTCAATGGAGCATGTCAATAGCAAAACTACTGCTCTAAATTTGGAACAGGAAACAAATTGCAAAGAAATGAAGGCCAGCAATTAGAGAAATTCATACCAATATTAAGGGAGAGACCCATTTGTGTTGGGCGAAGGCTTTGATAGTAACCTTTCCAATATTCTATACCATCCCCAAGATGACCTGTATCACCTAATTGGGGAGAGAAGAATGACCTTCCCACAACAGCATAACTGCAATCAAGAGTTTATGCAGTTTAGCGGAGCCACCATACTCCTCAATCTACATAAATGTATATGTAGAGGAAAATACATAAAAAAATTACTAAATATATTTCGCATCTCCCCCGCCCAGTAACCCCCTGCTTCCTATTTTGGCATATACATGCGGCCTGCTGCTTTCGAATGAGATGTGAAGGCATAGGTAATGAAATAGGTAAGGGTAGACCTAAGCATGAAGATGTGCAGCTTGGTAGAGCATTTGCCAAATTGTTTTTAGGTCAGATGAGACTCACTTATTTGAAGGAGTTGATCTAAGAACTACATCAAGAACTTGTATAGTTTCTTGGGGGACATCAAGTTGTCTGCCATGTAGGAACTGTTGCAGGTGATGGAGGTCAGCTTTGGCAGCAAATTTGATTGCCACCCTGAACTCACGTTCTCTCCTGTAATTAACACAAACAGGACATTAAATACTAATTGAACCACAAGGGTAATTTTCAAAAACAAATAAATATATAATTTGCAAAATTGACTAACAGATGTAAAATACTTAATCAGATTGAAAACAGTTTGCCTGACAATTTTTTTTTTTTTTTTTTTTTTTTTTGACTTCTTACTTGGTTGGGGAATTATGTTTATTTTCTTCAGTCACCAAAAACAATCAAGGACCCCTCTGCAATCGGACATAGAAAATGAAACAAAATCCATAATAAATTAGCAAATACACGGTAAGCCTTAACCTTTTGTCTACATTTCAAGAACAGCTGTATAATCCACTATAATTGTGCATGCACCCACCAATAGCAGTAGATGCTGAAGGAAAGAAAGGAATCACCTTGAGGTAGTCTCTCTTTCAACCAGCTTCACGACAAAGTCCTGAGAGACAAAAGGCAATGGCCCTGCTGTGTACAAACTTTTCCTGCCATCATAAGCTGGGCATCGTTTGCCCAAATGAGACTCCTGATATGATGCAATAAGCGCATTCACTATCTCCCTGCAGACTTTCTTTGAGGTAACTTCAGGTGTGATCGTCACCTAAACCAATCAATTGGAATTGTATAACTACAATTGTAGAATAACCACCAAAGAAACTAAGTAGAAAGAAACCAATTATAATGCAACCCAAAGCAAACAGAAAACCAAAGACTCGATACATTTGACAAGCCAGAAAATTCAAGAGATAACACATTTTCTACCTTCGGAGTGAATGAATAGAAGAGGAAAACGCCACACAAAATGATCAAATAAAAAATGCACAGTGAGCGACAAATAATAATATCCGAATCCACATGAAAAAATACAAAAACAAATAGTTAATCCGTTACAAAAACGAACACTAAAAAACAAATATACAGATCAAAATCTGTAACTATCAGAGCATACCAATAGAACAAAACTGAACAAACCATTAATCTCTAGGAAAACAAGAAGAGAAAAACGCATAGAAATAAAAATAAACATTTAATCACTCGATCAACATGTATCAAATCAACATACACAAAGCAGATAACAGATATATATACATATATAGTTAAAATTCAGGTGAGATTCTTACGTCATAGTGGTGGAGATCTCTATCGGCAACATCGACGAGAAAATGATTCGCACGAACAATGCATCTCCGGCCGACAGTTCCGTAACCGGGCCTCGCCGGCGGCCGCAGAGATTTCGTAGATAACGGCGGCTGAGCCGGATCTTGCGCTGGCAGTGGCGGCTGGGCCGGTCTCTGTACGGACGACGAAGGCTGAGCCGCCGCCGGAGTAGGAGGAGGAGATTGCAGGATCAGCTTCCGCTCGACGTCCTGGCTGAGAGACGACGACGGCGTCGGAGGCGGCTGTGAGCTTGACGGGGTAGAAGTAGACGCATAATGTGGAGGTCTCTGCGGCGGAGGCGCCGCCTGGTAAGGGGCTGATCCGCCGGCAGTGCCGCGACCTCTTCCGCCGCCGCGTCCGGAGGAGGAAGGAGGAGGAGGCTGATCGCGGCGAGGTTGGCCTCGGCCTCGGCCTCGGCCGCCGCCGTCACCGCGTCCACGCCCACGGGTTGACATCTCCGACGACTGAACGCTAGGAAGAAAATGAGTAGACAGCTAGAAAGCGAAATGCTAGAGAAAGAAGTGTGTGTGAGCGCACGCGGGTGTGTGATGAAGAAAAAACAGAGGGGTAGATAGAGAACGTCCAATCTCTAATAAGCAGTTACTAATAGATATATATATCATTTAACATTTAAACCACGAATCATTTAAATCACGAGAAATGCTACAGGTGTACACCCCCGTACGCATATATTATATGCCTCCTTATCCCCCCAAAAAAAAAATAAAAAAATTATGCCTCCTGTCATCAAATGTGTAATTAATATTTTTAATTTAAAAATTAAAAAAATTATAATTTATATTAAATAATTAAAAAAAAAATTTCTATTTTTTACGTATCTTTTTATAAAAAATTAAAAAGTTATTTCAAACGTATTACTTTTTTACCTTATATTTTAACTAAAAAAATTAAAAAATTACTAAAATAACATGCTCATAAACAAGACCTAAATAATAAAAAATATTGGAATAAAATTATAAGTTTTCTCAGCATTAATCATAAATTCTTAAATATATTATTACGTTAATTTATGATGAAATTACGTATTTTATGGTTAATATTATAAAATTTTATAATAAATTATAATTTTTTATATTATTTTATAATAAAATTATACTTTTTTATGGTAACGTGCATCTAATTTGCACTCTTAAAAGAATACACAGCATAGATTTCCCTTAAATCAAGGTGGTGTCCCTTAAATTTGGGTTGAAAAACATAATAATAAAAATAAAATAAAATCCCATGAAATGTGCACACGATAAAATGTACAATAGTGTAGTGTAGCTTCTAAAATAAATTCAGTTTAAGCATTTTATTATGAGTGCGTAATGTTGATGATATTTTTCCCTATTTCAACATATAAAATTTTTGAAATTGAAAGGACTTTTATGTTTCCCATCCCATGCAGTAATGAATTTCATAAGGACAATAAGCAATAATGGTGTCTGAAGTGTTTTACGCTTGTTTAGTAATTAAGGCTGGTTTTAGGAAGTTGGTTTTTAGTCATTTTTTTTTATTTTTAATATTATAATATATATATTTATATAATAAGGAAGAAGTGTTTTTGAAAATGTATACAAATGTCTTAGAGATACATTTTGATCCAATAGCTGAGATTAATTTCAATTTTATATCAACGGTTTAGATCAATGGATCTCCCGCCCAAAAGACTTCTCTCCCTAAAAGCATCGTTGTTGCCTTCCCTACCTACCCATGCCTGCCTCCCCCTTCCCTCTCTCTCTCCCTCTCCCTCTCTGTTCTTCTTCTTGAATACTTCTTCTCATCTCTCTCTTCTCTTGCAATGACCACCGCCGTCGCGACACCGACGACCACTGACCACCAACCACCTCTTCTCTCCCTCGCTGGAGACCTAAACCGGAACCCTTTATTCTTGTCATCCTCCCTCTCTCCCAGCCATAACCTTAATCCCTTCATCTCCCGCTCTCTCATCTCCCTTCATCACTTAGGGCTTTATTCCTGTACTCTGTTTTTTACTTGCATTTTGCCCTCTCTCTCTCTCTCTCTCTGTCATCTCCCTTCCTCATTTTTTGTTGTGGGTTTTAGTATAACTTGGTTCGATTCATAAAGTTGGTTCAGAAAGCATTGATATATGATCTTCTTCTTCTGGTAATGTACTCTGTGTTATGGTGATTAGGACCATTCCTGTGTATTTTAAAGTTTTAATCTATATATATTTGATGAGTTTTTGAGAATGGATTTTTGAGATTCAAGTTTTTTTTTTAATATTTGATTTTATTTTGCTTTTTTGTTTTTAGGGGTTTTCCTGTTTGGTTGAAGTATGTTCAAATGATGAAGGATGAGAAGTTGTTTGAGTCTCAAGGATGAGAAGCATGTTCCTATGTGACTTTTTGTGTTTCTTTGCCTCTTTTTCCATAATAAAGTTTATTTTTTTGTATATCATGTAGTGGTTACCTGAATGCAGTGGTTATCTGAATTTGTATATCATAAAGTTTCTTTGCCTCTTTTGAAATGTATAATAGCTTCGATAAAGCCGTTATATTTTCATACATATTATTGCTTCTCAGGGAATGATTTCAATGCTTTTTTGTGAAGTAGATTGTTAAATTGATTATTAGGGGAAGATTCAATGCTTGATTTTGGTTATTAATTTGATAGAACCTTTTGTAGGTCTCATGAGGAAATGTCTCTGAAGATGATAATAACAGCTTTTGGCATTTGAGTTCTACTTGGCTTTTGAAAAATCTTGCATTGATTAGTTTTGAGCATAACTAAAAATAATACATAAGTTTATTAATAGCATAATCATTAGACAAATTTTAGTGACTATTTGAAATTTTTTCCTCAATTTTTTTTAAAAAAATATTACTGCAATTAGTTGGAGAAGTGCCCAAAATTAATAACAAGAAAGATGTTAATGCAAAGATGCACAGCTGCTAAACAGGTAACAGTATGACTTACCCAGTGCTTATGATCATACTCATGACAGATAGGAAGAATTTAGCAGTTAGAAACAAGTGTACTCACAATTTAGTGGTGAATTGTCACTAAATCAGGAATTACCTTTGATATGTTCTTGATTTAGCACTTCCTGATGTAATTTGACATAACTAAAAGCCTCATTTTCTTGATATATTATAAAATAAAACCAACAGCCTCCATTGAAAAGTGCAATACAAATTCAACTAAAAAACCCCACATTCATGAGATAGCCAAGAGGTATATCATACAAATGATTGTGATCACGATATTTCTTCTAGAAACGTACATTGCATAAAAATTAGCGGAGTCTCACTTCCAAGCAGGATATAAGCTCAAGGTGTTGAATACATTTAATAAATCCAGGATATAAGCTCAATTAAATGGAGATTATGTGAAAAGAGGTCTGATCTTTGGTGAGATATATCCAATAATTCTACCAATTTCTCTTTCTAAAATCTGAAGGCATTACTGCTGAGATTAAACACTATCCCACTAGCGATAAATGTAAACATATTCATTCTAAAATTTACCCAAAATAAAAAATAATAAAGACAACATATTTCAGAATCTCGACATCACCTCCACAATACATTGAATTTTGGGCGTGAAGCAGCTCTCAACACCTGCACAATGAGGAGAGACTCATTTAACCCTTTCTAGGTGTAACTTAATGTAAGTTACATAAACTCAGACAATTGCAACACAAGATTATGGCCAAGCATAGAAGATAGTGAACTCTGCTGTACAAGTTTAGAAAATTCTAGACCAACCTTAAGCTAAGTTTCTGCAATCCTTCATAAAGACGACACTGATAAGCCAAGTTTATACATTTGAAGTGTTGTTGGCATGGATAATAAATAGTTAATTATGATTTTAGATTTATTTTTTAATTTTTATATTTTTTTTCCAGGTGTGATTTGGTTTATATATTTTTGTAATTTTTTTTCAGGTGTTATTTTTTTCTAGGTGGTATGGGCATTCAAGTTTCTTTTAATGAACTAATTATTGGCAGAGCTTTGTTAGGAAAAGAAATTATGTTTCTATGTTACTTTTGTTAGATTGATTTTTTTTTTTCCTGTCATTTTGTTTGCTCTTTCTCTCTCAATTTCACATAATGCAGCTATTTGTTCTGGATAGTAAGTTTCATTTGCCGGTAGGATAGAGTCATGAATGCTAATGTTAAAACCTGTTCTTGGTTCTCTTAGCATGCAAATTGATCATTCAGAAGCAACATATTATTGTCCCAATTTCAAATTTTTAATTAAATTTTTCGTTTTTTGTTTTTTATGGGTATACAATCAATTGCACTAAATCTGTCTCTAATATGATTAAATTAATCAAATCACATGTATAAATACTTTTATTTGACAAAATCCACAAATATTTTTATAATAAAGTGGATTAATGTCAATAGTAACTTTTCAGTACATTGAAGAGGAGGTAAGGTTTTAACGAGGTAGACTGATTTTTATTATGGGATTAACCTAATATTCATTTTTTTTTTAATTTTTTTATTTTGAGATCAAAGATCATGAGCTATACATGAGCAAAATTTAAAAAACCTGCTCAAGCAGAGGATACCCTGCTCAAGCTCAATGGCCTTGCTTCTCCCAAAGATCTACTTGCTGGTGCTGTTTTGGATGTTCCTCTCAAAGGTTTGACTCTTTTTTCAATCTCTTTATTTATTTTACATTTACATACATAAATGTTTAATTGATGAGTTTTCTTTATACAAAGATGTTATTGTGAATGATGTGATGGTGGCGTTGAGTTTTTTAATTAAATTTTTTATTTTTTGTTTTTTATGGGTACACAATCAATTGCACTAAATCTGTCTCTAATATGATTAAATTAATCAAATCACATGTATAAATACTTTTATTTGACAAAATCCACAAATATTTTTATAATGAAGTGGATTAACGTCAATAGTAACTTTTCAGTACATTGGAGAAGAGGTAAGGTTTTAACGAGGTAGACTGATTTTTATTATGGGATTCACCTAATATTCATTTTTTTATTTTTTTTTTTATTTTGAGATCAAAGATCATGAGTTATACATGAGCAAAATTTTTTTAAAAAAAGAAGAGACTACTCTGTTAATATTTCAGAAGGAAGCAAATAGTGAAAAGGGAAAATTGAGATCATACAGTCAAAAATCCACTAAAGTTGTACTGCATAATTGATATAGTATCAACACCCAATTCCAGGTCATTGAGGTAAGGACCATCTATGTCCATGATAGTTTTAACATCAGGAAATCTAGAGAAAGCCCATGTGTGGTTGAGGCGGATGCTATAATCAAATAATTCGGGACCTTGATCATGAAAAATGATTGCTCCTTTAATTTTGGAATTTGGACAGTTCCTATACATCAAGAAAAAGAAACTTTAACATCCTTATGTGCTGATGGTGCAGAATCAATAATGTGAGTTCACTAATTATTGTAGAGACAAATAGAGCATTCAGAAGATACAAATAGAGCAATCAGGGAATAGGAAAAAAGAATTTAACATCTTTCTATGCTAATGACCCAGATAAAAACATGACAACCATATTGTAGAGACAATAATTGTAGATACAAATAATGTAAGTTTATGGTTTTGGGAAGATACAAAATGCAAGCAT